CAATTGAAGGGGGTGGCCGGGGGGGTGTGTGTTCAGATCGGGGCGGGATGGGGGGAGTTTACCGGAGGGTAGGAACCGTCAATTTTACGAACGGGGCACCGAAGCGCTCCCTGGTCATCTCATGATATTGCCGGGAAAGGTCATGGCCGACAATGTCATGGGAACCTTGGTGCATCTCTATATTTAGGATGTAATTCTCTTCTTCAACCTCATACATCTTGCCTACAACTCAAGGATTCTTTTCTATGGAAATTTTCTAATTATGTCAAAGGCAAGAAGTAAATGAAGATCCATGTGAGAAGAGTTGGAATGTAAGGCTTGAAGATACCCTAAGGAAAAGATGATGAGCCGGAGATAGAGATCTCAAGTGAAATCATTACTGTTAGTTCTCTTTAGGAGCCAAAATCATATCACGTTTTATTTATCCATTATACATGTTTGTATGTATGTTGGAATGAATGTTTGTATGTTATTCACTAGAGTATGTGCGTGGAAGATACCATTGGTGAGACCATTTTTAAATTCCTCATAATGTTAAGTGTACGTAAGCCTTCCGTTGCCTGCTCACTTGTTGTAACCAGTTTCGATAAGTCAATGGACACGCCAAAGCGAGACGCCTCCTCGACATTGGTATGACACAAAATCCGTAATAATAGATACTTGATTGTATAGTTATCACACAAGTCTCCTATTAGCTCTGGTGGTTAAGCTCTATCTTTAAAAGTGATTGGACAAGGGTTCGAAATGCAGGCAGGTGCCTTAAGTTTTTAACCAGTGTTTCAACTGAACCCGGCAACCGCCCGGTCCTATACGAGTCACCCGGTTAAGTGGTTCTCCCGGTTTTTATTGGGCCAAACCAATACCGAGTTTTAACATTGAACAAGACCGGACTTGTGACTGGGTCACAGTTCAAGCGGTTGGACCGGCCGATCCGGTCCAGTCCGATTCTAACAACATTGGTTTGAGATGGACGGAGTAATATTCTATGTTGTAGTAAGGCGCAGAGCCATAGGAATCTCGGCATCCGAAAAAATTTAAGCGTCAAAAGACGTAGAATTTTGATTTGTACTACGTAACTCAAATTTCGTAACCAAAAATAAGAGAGAGGGAGTATTAATTTTTGTGGGATGAGTGATGATTGTTTTATTTCATACTCTTTCCGTCCCTAAATAGATTACAATTTTTTTCTCTCCTCTCGATAACTTTTGTTTGTTTACGCAATTTCATTAAGTATTTGATAAAATAAAATATTTTTGTCACCTCTTGTTTTATAGAACTTTTGACGTAGTTTTTTAATATGTAATTTTTATATCTTTTTAATATACCAATTTGTAAATAAAATGATTTTAAAAAGTAGAAAATTTTACTCTGTAACCTGCAATTTGTAATCAAATTAGGACGGGGAGTAGTAGTAATTAGGGATGTAAACAAATCAAATATTTTAAATTCGATTCGCGATTTGTATTCGAATATGATGATTCGAATTCGCGTTATTCAAATACAAATTCAAATTCAAATATTATTTTTGATTCGAATATTAATCAAATACAAATACAAATAGGATATATTCGATTCGGATGATATTCGAATATTCGAATATATGTATATATACACAGACCATGTTTTCAACATCAAAAGTCAAGCAAAGTAATATAGTATAAAGTGTATTTAAAATACTAAGAATTCAATAAATTAACGTAACATGAAAATCTAAAGCATATGATTTTTAATAGTTATATTTTATAAAATATAATTTGTGTAAGATGCAGATGTATTAATGTTTTTATATACGGAATATAGTATAGTATAAAGAGTATCGTAAGTTAAATTACAAATTGATGTTGGTCCATCATATAAATTACATAGTATGATTATTCAAATATTCGTTTTTGATTCGATAACTATTCGAATATTAATCAAATACTTATTCAAATCTTATTTTGAATTCGTCTCATATTCGGGTTCGGATTCGTATTCGAAAAAATTAAACAAATACAAATTCAAATATATCGGTATTCGCTTCGATTCGGTTCGTTTACACCCCTACTAGTAATGATTCGATGCAGGCCGCAGGGATGGAATAAGGAGGAGGGAGATGTGACGTGTTTCCAATGATCTTCAAATTATGATTCCCTTGGTGTGTATGTGTACATGTGTACACGCATACAGTACAATGTTAAAGCAAGCATATGATATCGCCAAGTATGATATGGCCAAGTGTTTTTTACCTACTACTGCATGTTTTAAAGACCCATTCACCCCCTTTCAATTTTTCCTTTACTTCAATTTTTCCGCTTCTGACGTTGTGCTATTGGCAAATGTAAAGAGTGTCAAGAAGTAGATTCGAGTTTTATTCTGGTAACTCAATCAAAGGCAACTATGCTAAGCATAGTATTTTTGTAAGTACCAGACACAGATTCCACTTCCTGCCACTAATATGTGATTAAAATTAAATTTATCTTTTTTCAGTGACCATCCGACCGAGTATTTAAAATTAAATTTATCTTTTTTTCCTTCAATTTCTATATTTTGCTACCATATCATTCACATTTTATAAGCACGCCTTAGCTTTTTCAGTTTGTGTTAGGTGTGACCGTGTAAGTAAAAGTTAGGGATGATGCACAATAAGATACATTTGTGTGTGTTCAAGATATCACAACTGTTATTCATCTCATAAATTTTATGATAATACTTGCATTAATTATATTCCTTCTGTCCAAATTTTTCTTTCTCATTTTGATTTGGCACATAGATTAAAAACAGTTAAAAAGTATGAAAATTTTACATGTTTTACCCTTGATGTGATGAAACAAAGTAAATAATGAAGTGAAAAATTATGAGTATAATGGCACATTCATTAAAAGTTTTTTGCCAAAATAGGAAAGGAAAAATAAATATTTAGACAATCCAAAAAGGAAAGTTAAAAAGAAATTAATGGACGGACGTAGTATTACCAATGTATGAAGGTGCTGTTTGACAAATATTTTGGGAGTTTTTTTGTCACAAATACATTCTTTAGATAAATGAATGGGTCAACAACAATTTAAAGTACTCCGAAGATATTTGACGAAAATTATATGCATTTTTTATTCTAAAAAAAGAATATAATTACAAAAGAAACTTCTATTTAGAATTAACCATTAAAGCTTACTTATTTAAACAGGGTTTTCGATCAGTGTTCGGTAACTTTGGCTTTGGGTTACATTGAATTTAAATAAGTTCAAATTTGAATTGAAAACTACATGTTAATGACTCTGAGTCATCAAATTCGAGTCGACCTAAGAGATCATGAGCTTTATTTTTAGAATATTCAAATTTTTACTAGCACTTGGATTTACACTAAAAAAAAGTGTCAGATATCTATTTATAAAAAACTTGTTTATACCCTAAAAATGAATAATAACAAAACTTAAAAACATATTCTAATTTTTATCACATATTTTTTTTGAAGTACGAAGTATATGTTTTCAAAAAAAATAATTGGGAAAAGGACTAAACTAAGATTAAAAATGAAAAAAACCAAAAGAGAAGTTTCATATTTTTATCCTCAAAATAGGAGTACAATATCAATAATATTAATATATAGTACCAAAAGAAAAAGTAGGATACCGCCATAGAATGTGATAATATCATCGTGGGAACTTCTATGTTGGGAATAAGAATATGAAATTTCTATTTTAAGCATAAATGCACTATTTTACTCTTATTTATGATGATTTCTTAAAATTTTTACATTAGCGAGTAGCTCAAGTCGGGTTTGAGCTATTTTTAGTGGGTTATTTTGGGTTTGGTCATTTTCAGGCTCGATCAACAAAACTTTTGTTAAAAACTCACTATTTTCAGATCGAGAAAAGGTGTCCTGGTCCGGTTGTAGTAATATTATTCACCTAACACCAGACCAAGAGCTGAGAGCTTGACTCATCAGTTGGAACTATGTTCCTACCTCAATAGTTGTATTGTGGAGTAACACCCGGAACGCAAGATAATGAAATATGAATCTTGGCGTACTAGAGGTTTCCCTGGAAATTTTCGAATCAATATCAATGGTTATTGGTTTGCTAAAAATAGTGGGAGATAATTAATTAATGACCTAATTAATTACTCTCTCCGTTCCAAAAAGATTGGTACATATTGACTTTTTGGGAAATTAAGAGAAAGATATTTTGGTGTTGACTTTCCAAAAATACCCTTGATATGATGGGTAAAAGTAGTATGTGATGGGTAGATTATTAGAAAAAAGGTATGATGTGATAGGTAGGGTATGAAAAAGTAAGGGGTAAAAGTGGTTTTTTAATAGAAATGTAATGGACTTTATGGGACGCAGTCTTTTCGAAACGTGTCGGACTTTTTGGGACGGAGGGAGTATTAAACATGATGGATAACCTAGTTTGCAAAATTTTCTGTAGATGGCAAACAACAACAACAACCCTATCAACCTGTGATATGTTCTAGAAAAACAAAAATTATTTGGAACCCACTTTCTTGATTGGGAGATAAATTTTAAGATTGTTCTCTAATACGAGAAAAAGCTCTACGTCCTTACCTCTGAGCCTCCCAAAGCTCCTGAAACGAACGCCTGTGCTTCAGAAATTACTTCGTACTGGAAGTATGAAGATGACGCACGTGATGTGAGATGTCTCATGCTAGCCACCTTGATCCCGGACCTCCAAAGGCTCCACAAGGACATGGAAGCTCATCCTATGATGACTCGCTTGAAAGCTTTATACCAAGGGCAGGCTAAACATGAGCATTTCAAAATCTCTAAGACTCTGTTTTCTAGTAAGCTGGCAACGGATAACCCAGTTGGTATCCACATTTTCAAGATGATCGATGAGATCAAAACTCTTGAAAAACTGGACGCCCTGTTGCATCCTATGCTGGCAACCGATCTCATCTTTGGATCATTACCTATTGAGTATAGTAAAACTGTAGTGAACTTCTACATGAACAAACTAGAGATGACTATGCACGAGCTGCTGAAATTCCTCAAAACTGCTGAGGAGAGTTTAGGAAAGGGCAAGGGTAAGTGTGTCCTGATGATAGATGACATTACTGTTGCGAAGAATAATGGGCCACGTTCGCCGACCGGGACCAAGCGCAAGGGTTCTAAGAAACCCAAGCCAGCGTCAAACTCCTCTTCGTTGAAACCCAAAGAAGGAGCTAAGAAGAAGTCTGTTGTATGCTATTATTGTGGCAAAAAGAGTCACTAGAGGCGTACCTGCGCAAAATTACTGGCAGAGAAGAAAGAGGGAAAGAAACCTCAAACCTCAGGTATCTTCGTTATTGAAGTCAATATCTCTGATATCACCTCTTGGGTGATGGATACTGGATGTGGTTCTCACATCTGTACTTCTATGCAGGATCTGCATGAATGTAGACAGTTGACGGAGGGAGAGATACAACTAAAAGTCGGCAATGACGCACTCGTATATGCATTAGCTGTTGGAACCTAGAATGAGTTGAACTAAATAACCGATTAGATTCAAAATTTTAAAGTGATTCAGCCCAAATGTCTTATTTCCAATCCCCTATCCCATTCTAAATTCTACTTCCTCTGTCCCATTTTAAATTGTCTGTTTGCCTTTTTCTCCGTTCCAAAAATAAGTTGTTTGTTATTCGTTATCGTAAACTTTTAAGAGTAAAATATTTAAACTATCCCTAAAATAAGTCATTCTTCTCCACATGATCTTCTCATTCATTGTCACCTCTCCTAAAAAGTAATGACAATTTTGAAAAATCAACTCTATTTTTTCTCTTCCTTAAATATGCCCAAAAGTTAAAACATTCGATTTAAAACGGGATGGAGGGAGTATCATTTTAGCTCTTTTAGATGTGGTAGACACATATAGGATGCGTAAAAAATGAAACATGATGTTTTTGAGAGATGGAGAGAGAGTATTTTTTCTAAAAAAAACTAAAATTAATTCTAAGTAACATAGTGAATAAAAATGTTTTTATTCAAAACTAAGAGTTATGATGCCAAAGATACCAACAAGTAATATCAAAAGACGCTATAAAATACCAATATATAGTCCAATATATATTTTGATGGTTTAAACCGACACAAGTGTTGGTGTGTTAATAAAAAATTACACAGACACAAAGTGTTTGTGCATTAACAAAAATTAGTTTTACACCAACATAAAGTGTTAGTGCAAACTTGCGGGGTACAAAATGGGGTACAACATATGGGGTACAAGTAGCTTTATCCTTTATTTTATGCGGTTTCTTAAAATATTTAATAGAAATCATCCTAAATAGGACTTAAACATTGAGAAAAATACCAAAATAGGACTTTCATGTTTTTTTTCTCCAGAAAAGTACTTTGCACTGTGGTAATGTGACTTTGCATTGTGGTAATGTGGCAGTGTACATGTGCAAATTACTATACTTTTTGGTAATGTATATGACCTTGTTTGGTAATGTAAGTCCTATTTCGGGAATAAAAACATGGAAATCCTATTTGGTATATTCTCAATGTTTTAATCTTAGTTTGGTCTTTCTCCTAATATTTAATTTAAATGGGAAAAATTTTCCAAATCTGAATCGGATGGATCGAGTCCATCAAATTAAAGAGAAACAAAAAAGGTAAGGATGGGAGGGTTTCAATCCTAGATCGAGTATGGGTGGGAAGAAGTGGGAGCAGCCCCGCCAGCCCTTGTGATCGATCTGATCTGCTGCAGGTAAATCACACATACTCTGGAGTAATAGACAAAGAAAAAGAAAAAATAGTACGCTGTCTCAAAAAAACGAAAGTGTTCTTGTTGGGAGCAAACAAGTCCCACATTGAATAAAAAGAAGTGAAACCACAAAAAAAATCCAACCATTCCAGGGGTACACCAAGAATTATACCTCAAAGAAATACACAAGCAATTTAATTATTTACTCTGGTACAAAATATTAGTTCAATTCAAAAGATTTATTTTGTTATTAGTGTAAATCATCACACACTAGCACAAATATCTATGCATGATTTCGAGATACAAAGTGGCATATAATTTCCCGGGTACAAATAGCCTAATTTAGAAAAAGTATCTAACCCAATTCATCAGTATGTGAGTGGGATATGTATCGTCCCAATTTTTTTAATATTTTAAACTATTTTACCTCCTCTGTTCCAAACTTATCTTCTTGTTGTGGTTTCTAATTATTAACTGATTATTTTAATTAATATAAGTAAAAATTAGTTTAGAATTGAAAAGTAAAGTCAGTTTTACGTTGTAAGTAATTGCTAGAAATTAATTTAGGATGAAATAAGTAATAATTTGAATTGAAAATAGTTTAAGTCAATATTATAACTCTGGACAAAAAATTCTTTCAAAAAACGGATGGAATATTATATTTTTGGGAAGTGTCATTTGATTAGTAGTAATTCTTTGTCATTTTCATAAATTATAAACTCATACGTAGTTTTTAGTTTATTAAAATTGTGCCTAGTCAAAGTGCACACTTTTTTGTTGGATGAAGAGAATAATACGAGTATATATCCATTTCAAAATCCACAAAGCAATTTTTGTATACTGTTTATATATTCCCAAAGGCGAATTCGTAATCAACACTCAGTCTTTATATACGGGGTAGAGTACATCAGATCACTGGTTTTTCATGTAGAGAAGCTAGCACAAATAATAAACCAAACATTCTCCGGCCCTCTCATCCCTAGCCTCCAAAAGCTAAGGGAATTGAAAAAATAATGGCAAGCCCCTGCTATGACACACACATTTCCTCCCTCAAACAACAAATCTCTTCTTCATCTTCTTCTTCTTTTCCAACCTTAAGCTTCACGAAGCTCAAAACCCTACTCCAAACCTTCATCTTCTCCCACCTTTACCGCATCGCTCGATCCATACCCAAAGCAAAATCCCTTCTTTTCCAACTTCTGGACGACATCCAAGTCGTTTGCTTGGTCGTGACCAAGAGCAACAAGATAATCAATAAGAGAACGAAGAAGAAGAAGAAGATGAAGCTATTTCTAGGCTCGTTTAGGCTACACTACAACTGGTGCTCATCCCACGTGGCGCCGGCCCCTCTGCCCGCGACCGATGTCAGAGGCGAGGTTTTCTTCGACCCGACGCGGAATTCATTCATATCTACCACCACAGATGACGATTACGTGGATGATCAGGCGGTCGAGCTTACAGGCTACCTCCGTTGGCTCGAAGAGAAAGGGGGTAGTAATAATGACATCGATCGCCTCGCTGATATGTTCATTGCTGACTCGCATGAGAGGTTCAGGTTGGAAAAGGTTGAGTCCTATAGGAGATTTCAAGAAATGCTGGCTAGGAGTGTATGAACTTATTAACTACTCCGTATAAATATTGAACTACTTTCTTCTATATATCATTTCTTGTTCTAAATTTTCTCGCTCTATTTTTTCTTTCTTTTGAGTTGGGTGGGTGGTTGGATTTTTGAATTTAGTCTATTTAATGGTTACTACTTGCATAATTGGAATTGGGGTATGTACAATTGTGTATCGTTGGGTCTTGGGTCTATTTCCTTCTTGAATGTATGAATGGAATGTTTTGGGAAATATTGGGCAATTCTTCGGTTCTCTTTTGACTTTGTCTTAATTACTCAGTGATTTAAGGTGGGATGTGGAATCAATTAAGTTAAATTTATTCTTCTTTGAATGATTTTCCTTTGATGATACGATAGGATAAATCTGTCACTAGTGGTAATGTAATACGGAATACTATACATGTGCACATTACTATACTTTTTGGTAATGTATATGACCATGTTTAGTAATGTAAATGCATTTTAAGTCTTCTTTCAGAAATAAAAATATGGAAATCCTATTTTGATATATTTTTAATATTTTAGTTCTACTTTCAGCTTTCTACCTGAATATTGTGGATCTTGTCAAATAGTTTTTTTTTGTTTTTTTATTTAAAAAAACAAATCTTTGTCTAAGTAGTAAAGAAATACCTTTTTTGCTCATATCTAGGTTCATGGTGAACCTAAGATCCATCATAGAATTTGCAACAATAATAATTTGTAGCAATTTGAGAATGTGCCACAAGGTTGCCACAAATACTCCGTTACAAAAGGTATTTGTGGCAAATTTAAATTTGCCACAAAAAAGTAGTGTTTTTGTGGCAAATTATGATTTGCCACTAATAAAACTTTGCCACAAAAGCTCATATTTAGTGGCAAATTTCTGTTGCCACAAATTATATTTTGCTACAAAAACTAATGTTTAGTAGCAAATTTATGTTGTCACAAATTATACTTTGTCACAATAGCTGACGTTTAGTGGCAAATTTTAATTGCTACAATTATTAATGAAATATTGCAAACCTAATGCTAATGATAGTTTATAATTCAGAAAAATTAAATTTGCTGCGAACTCTTGATTTTATTAAATTTTTTAAATAACGTTTTTATTACAGTAAGAACAACATGATACAAGGGCATGCTGTGTAATGCCCAAAGCTCGTTTACAATTACCTTAATCCGTGAAATGACAAACTGTCTAAAGTATTAATAGCTACATTACAAGCTCAAAAAAACCTAAAGTTTCTTATGCTTTCCAGGGAGTTCACATTTAAACTGACCCAAATTACTCCTCCAATGTAGCTAGCAGTGTTTAGCATCAGCCCCAAAACTATAGGATAAAAGATGCTGAGCAGCCTGAACTATATATAAAAAGTGTATAGTATATATGAGTCATTACAAATGGAGGGGGGCAGTAAGCCTAACCCCAATATTCAGGGGGGAACGAATTGAACCACTTGGGCTAAAGCATGAGCGCCCCGTATATGCTGAATGATAAGCGAAGACAAAAGAAATATCAGCCTTGAATAAGAGGGCAAGTGAATTACAAGCACTAATAATATAGAAAGTGGGAGAAAGGTCATCTACGTGAGTGTGGTAGAGAGCTTTCGATGACTGCTAGGCAATCAAATTCCAATGATGATTTTTTGCCATGGGAACTCCTTTAGCCAACTAAGGGCTTCTTTGATCGCAATGGCTTGGGCTTCTTTAGGGGCATGGAACAATTGAATGACAAGGTTTTTGGCTGTACAGAGAAAAATCCGTCATGCGGGAGTGTAGTTTCCGGGGAGACCCACCGATGCTTCCACATTGATTTTCACCCAATCTTGACATGATTTTGTTGGACATGAGTTCAAACTCCTTTAGATATTTCTTGAAATTATTTTTTCAGGTTTTGGCAAATGACAAACGCAACGCAGAACAAAAATTTATTTTTTGGTTCAAGAAAGCAAAGAGACACATCAAGAATTTCACGATGACAAACTTTCAAACCTGTACGCCAGATTTCAAAGTAAAGAGAAGTTTTTCGAAGACCTTTCTTTATTTTGAGTCTAAAAAATTTTGTAAGGATAACAAAATATCTTTCTACTTAAACAAATTCTTTTTTAAGGATTATACATTAAAAAGTATATTATTTTTGGAGTCTGTTGAAAAATATTTTAATGATTCAAAAATAGATTTATTGAGTCAGTTACAAAAGATGTGTCTAACATTTTAAAAATGATTATTTTGATATTAGAAAAATTTCTGGAAAACAAAAATATTTTACACAAATATTTCTTTAACATCGTTTGACACACAAAAAATTTTGGGACTCAATTTTTCCACTCCATAATTCACAAAGCACTCTCAAAATAAATCCAAAATTATTTTGAATTAATGAGGATGTGATTGGGAGCCTTCGTATAGGGATTTTGTTGCAAACAACAAGAAATGGACAAACTTGCTTCATCATCTCGCCATTGATTGATTCTTGCTGTCATTGCATTATTCGCATTAAAAATCGATTATTCTTTGTGTAAAAATCGATTTTGTCTTCATGCGCAGATAAGAGTTTTTGTGCATACTTTTTAATTGATTCTCTTGCCTTTTCTAAAATTGATTTCTATTAAAAAACGATTAATCACTTTTCGGATTAATCGATTAGCACCTCTTCGCGCAGAAGGAATTTTACTTAGTAGCACCTAATTGATTTTTTCACTTTTGCACAAATCGATTTTTTGTCTGTTGCATCTCATCCTAAGCCTTATCTTTTGCCCCAACGGACATATTCATTTTACACCTATAAAATCTCTCTTCTACCTTCATTCCAATCACAATACAAGCACTCCAATCTCCTCCCTCATCACTTTTGATTCTTGCTCCATTCTTGATAATCAAAATACTATTTTGAGAGCTAGTAATATATTTTCTTGAGTCCAAAAATATTGTCATCCGTAGAGTTTACATTTTAAACACTTCTTGCTCATTTGTGAGCTTTATTTCTTGTGTTGTAAAACTCATCTTGTTTGAGTTTTTGTTGCTAAGACTTGTGAGATTCAAGTCTTGTTGGTTGTTCTTAAGACTTGTGTCACTCAAGTCTTGTTGTAAGAAGTTGAGGCGTGTGTGACTCAATCTCTCGAGTTGTAATCGGTTTTTCAAACACCCGTTGAAGCTTGAAAAATAGTATGACCTTTGAGAGAGTCTCTCGGAGGATTGGACTAGCCACGAGGTGGTGAACCAGTATAAATCACGGTGTTCTTCTTTCCCTTACGCTTTCACTTTATTCCTGTGATTTTTATTCCGATTATCAGACAAGCAAAAAATGTTCATTTTAGAGAACAACTTTATTCACTCCTCACTAGAGTTGCACTTTTGTCTAACGGGTTCTACCCAAGAAGAGCGAGGTCCACAGGAGGGGCAGGTTAGGTGATATGCACATATTTTATACACTTTTAGACATATTTTAAAGGAGTTTTGAGTCCCAATTGAACTTAATATTTAAATTTTATTTCAATTTTCCGTTTTATTTTGGGAGAGCAGTCCTATGTTTGGTTTTATATGTTTTGCAGGTATTTTGAGGCCATTTGGACGCATTGAGAACAATTTCAACAACGGAAAATATATATAGAAGTTTGGGACCAAAATAAATGGAAGAGATTTGAAGAAATGAAAGAAATTAATTTAAAAATGAAAAGAATGGAACTGGGTTTCGAAGGGTGTTGGAAATGGAGCTTTGACCATTGCACCACAACTGACTGTTTGACATATCAATGGCAGACAACGACTATGTTCTCGCTTTGAATCGGCCCATGAATTGAGAGAGAAAAATGACAAAACACCGACACTGGATGAGGAATCAAACACGGGATCAAGTGGCGAGACAAACAGCATCATTTCCATGTGCTATTATAGCTTTGTTGACATTTTTGGGACTGTTCGTATATACTCCATATATACGAATTTATCTATAAAATCCACTCCCTTCTCTTCTTCTAAGAGGTTGGAACCCCTCACTTCTCTACTCTCTCCATTTCTGAAATTCTTCTCCTTCCTCACTAATATCTCACCACTTTCTTCTTCCAAACACATAAAAATTACTCCATCTTCATCATCATCAACACCATCTATTTTAGTTGGAGCTCAAGAACACATCTTTCATTTTGTAAGATTTTTATTATTCTAATAAATATTTATTTGTTTAAGCTTCCAACTATGAACTTCTAAATTCCATTGGGGTTAGAAGTTGGTGTAATTAATTGTCCATCTTAATGTTTTGAATATTTTTAATATGGATTGTTAATTTTATTTTATTTAGATGTTATATTTAAAAATAAATAAATTTAGAATGTTTGTGATTTTTAATTAAGGGCCCAATCATAAACATAATTGTTACAAGGAATATGAGCTAAAATTAAAGACTTTCGGGTGGACATAATTATTGAATTGTATTTTTTACACCATTAAATTGGGTAAACATACAATAAAGTAATTATGGTTGCCGTTGTTACTAAATAATTACTCCGGATTTATCATTAGCGTGTTAAAGTCGGAGTAGTTATTATTTAGGTGAACTGCGAGAGCGTCCCTAAATACTTTTCTGCAACCCCACACATTCTATATAAAAATAACTTGACAATCCAACTTTTATAAAAACATTATATTGGACAATTAATTTACCAATTTCTACCTCTAACTTTTCATCATCAAAAACTTTGTGTTGTTTGGTACTCTCTTCTTTTACACTTTTTATTTTATCTTTAAAACCAAAAAGACCAAAAATATTTTACAACTTCTTTTGTAAACTTTTGTTTAAATTAAATTAAATCGCGTCTCCCTGAGGTTCGACACCCTACTTAGGCTCCGTTCCGTTCAACTTATTTTTTCTGATCTGATCTGATTCTAATAAGTTCTGATCTGATCTGATTAGATCTGATCTGATTAGATCTGATCTGATTAGATCTGATCTGATTGGATCTGATCTGATCTGATCTGATTGGATCTGACCTGATCGGATCTGATCTGATCTGATTGGATCTGATCTGATCTGATTAATTATGATTTAATTTAAAATTTCAAATCAATAATTTAATTTGACTTTATAATAACGTTTGAAAATTGTAATGATAATTCATATTATAATACTCCCTCCGTCCTCAATTTGATTACAAATTGCGGGTTACGGAGTAAAATTTCCTACTTTTTGAAATCATTTTATTTACAAATTGGTATATCAATAAGATATAAAAATTACATATTAAAAAACTACGTCAAAATTTCTACAAAACAAGAGGTGACAAGAATATTTTATTTTATCAAATACTTAATGAAATCGCGTAAACAAACAAAAGTTATCGAGAGGAGAGAGAAAAAAATTGTAATCAATTTAGGGACGGAGGGAGTATAATCAGTATTTTTTTATTTAATGATTATTTTTTAATAAAATAAAAATAGTTAATTCATATATTAGAATAATCATTCATATTATAATGTAATAATATTTTTTATTTTATGATTACTCCCTCCGTCCCTAAATGGATTACATTTTTTTCTCTCCTCTCGATAACTTTTGTTTGTTTACACAATTTCATTAAGTATTTGATGAAATAAAATATTCTTGTCATCTATTGTTTCGTTGAACTTTTGACGTAGTTTTTTAATCTATAATTTTTATACCTTATTGATATACCACTTTGTAAATAAAATGATTTCAAAAAATAGGAAATTTTATTCCGTAACCCGCAATTTGTAATCAAATTGGGGACGGAGGGAGTATTTTTTTGTAAAATTAGAATTATACATTAGAATAAATATTTAATTTAGATATACATTAAAAAGTAATTAAATTTAGATAATCAATATATAGAAGAGATAGTATTTTTATTAAAATATATCATCCTTATAAAAGATCAAAAATTTAGAAACTCAAATTACAAGTAGCAATAAAAAAATATTTTAAAAGTAGAATTAGATTGACATTGTCAATGTATTTTAAAACTAATTTTTCTAACGTCTAATAATTAAGGATTACTTTCTCGGTTTTCTATTTAACCTATTTCTAAAGTTTATTCTTTTTCATTTTTAAGAACAATAATAATAATAATAATAATAATAATAATAATAATAATAATAATGATAATAATAATAATAATAATAATAATAATGATGATGATGATGATAATAATAATAAGAATAATAATAATAAGTGTAATAATAATATTAATAATAATTCTTGATGGGATCTGATTTTAATAAGTCCTGATCTGATCTGATCTGATCTGATTGGATCTGATCTGATCTGGTCTGATTTGATCTGATCTGATCTGATTTTAATAAGAATAAGAAAAAATAAGAAAAAATAAGTTGAACGGAATGGGGCCTTACAAGGGATTCTTTTTAGTTGTTATTTTTGCTCGTTCTATACTGCAAATTAACTTGGCGCCGTTGCCGGGGAGACGGTTTGAGTTTTTTTATTTTAAACATAAGTTTTATTGTTTATTTGTTGTAAATATTTGTTATTATTTTGTTTTCCTAACCTCTTCTTGCAGGTACAAAAAAACAAAAAAAAAACACACAAAAAAAACTAAAACAAAACAAAAAAAATAACCAAAAAAAAGTAAAAAAAAATTTCTTGGAGTTCCTTTACTCTTGAACACTTATTGGACTTGGACATATTGACTTGGACATATTGGACATATATGGACATATTGAATTATCCCACAGGTCGGATTTTCCGCCAACGGAGATTGGACTTTTTTTTTCTTCTTTATTTTGCCCGCTGACCGGCAAAGCCGTCACAGGGTTTGTACATTTAATTACTACACTTTACATTTCTGCATTTTTTTCTTTCTTTTCAGGCGTGCAAAGCCGCTATTGGACATTATATCTATATAATATATACTATATATTATATATACTATATATATATATATTATATATATTATATATTATATATTATATATTACTCCGTATATATTATATATCTATATATTATTACTAACTCTTTTTATTTTTTTTAGTATCCTCGTTGGTTTATTACCGCTTGGCACTCTAACCGTTAACTACTAACTAAGGTATCACTTGTCTCGGTGGTTTTACCTCTTGACTTAAGTGAGAGCCATTTTATTAATTTTTGCACATTACATTTTTTTTTCCTTTCCCCCTTTCCCTTCTCTTTTCATTTTTTCCTTCCCCCCCCCCCCTTTTTTATTTTACTTCTATTTCCCTTTCCCCTTCTCCCTCTCTCTCTCTAACCCTCCCCAATCCCTTTCTTTTTCTGCTATCGCGTTCCCATGGGAAAAATCAAGAAAAATTTTTCTTTCTAGAAATTGAAAAACATTTGAAAGAAATAAGAAAAAGAAAGAAAATGGAAGTCCCACGGAACAATATTCTTGAAACTGTGCAGGAAATTCCGAGAAGACAAAATGAAGTTCCGAACAAGAGGACTCTTTCTGAATATGTCACTCCTCCTGTGGCGGAACACAACAGCATTATTCCGCCGGATGTCACAGCAAACAACTTCGAAATTAAACCTGTTGTCATCCACATGGTCTCATCTGATCAGTTTGGTGGAGGACCAACGGAGGACCCACACAACCATATCACCAAATTCCTCCAAGCGTGCAATACGTTCAAAATAAACGGTGTGCCAACTGATGCAATCAGACTTCGTCTGTTCCCATTCTCTCTAAGGGACAGAGCTCAAAGCTGGCTGGATTCATTTCCAGACAATCACTTCACAACTTGGGACCAGCTTCACGGAGAATTTCTCAAAAGATTCTTCCCGCCTTCCAAAACAGCAAAAATCAGGCGGATGATACAAAATTTCAAGCAAAATCCAAACGAGCCCCTTTACGAGGATTGGGAAAGATTCAAAGATCTTCAAAGGCAATGCCTACATCACAATATCCAGTCCTGGCACTTAATGACGGATTTCTATAAAGGCCTAAATGAGAACTCACAGATATTGTTGGATGCCTCGGCGAGCGGATCATTCATGAGCCTTGAACTTGACGAAGCTGAAGAACTTATTGAGTGGATCTCAACAAATGGATCTACATGGTACTCTGATCGTCCATCCGCTCAACCAAAAATTGGAGGCATGTACGAAGTTGATCAAATGTCGGCCATGGCTGCTAAGGTCAATAGCATTATGAGCATGATCCAAAAGATTTCTCAAGTCTCTGCTGTGCAAAACACTAAGCCAACACCGCCTCCTGTTCCTGTTCTCATGTGTGTATCCTGTGGTGGACAACATGATCAATCTTCATGTCCATGGGATTCAATGCAGCAAGTTGATAATGTCAATTACTACCGGCCGCAGCAACAACAAAACCCATTTGGCGGATTTAATTCTCAAAATAGAAATCATCTTGGTTTCTCTTGGAGCAATCCCGGTGGAGCTGCAATCCCGATGGAGCTGCCAATCCACAAGCTTATCGGAGTTCACCACCCGGCTTTCAAAATCAACAGCAACAACAATTTAGAGGTGGACAAGGTTTTGCTAACAATCAACAATTTAAGCAAAACCAAAGCTTCCCCTATGTTCCCAATCAACAAAAGCCAATCCTGCCAACTCCTGAAACAACATCAGCTCCCGGTTTGGATAACATTGTTGATCAGCTACTCAAATCTCAACTAGCCCAAGCTGAAACCTTGAAGAAGATTTCTGAAGAGCTTACTCAACTTCGAGCTCACAATAGGATGCTTGAAAATCAAATTTCTAATCAAGCATCAACATCCTCAATAAAGGTGACTGGAAAATTGCCAGCTTGTCCTGAGAATCCAAGAGAGCAAATGAATGCTATCACTACTCGGAGTGGGAAACAACTTCAATCTCCATCTCTTCCGAGTAGTGATCCTGAAGAAGAAAGAGGAGAGGATATCAAAGAAGAAGCTCAAAACAAAGTCAAAGGAGATGCTGCTGAAATGCTGCCAGACTCAATCCAGATCAAAGAAGGAAAGAAAAAAGAAGAAGAAGGTTTGGTAAGGAAATATACTCCACCAATTCCTTTTCCAAACCGACTCAAGAAATCACATATTGAGGAACGAAGAACCAAGTTCTTGAACCGTATCAAGCAATTGGATATCTCTATTCCTTTGCTTGATGCCATCACCGAAATTCCTTCATATGCCAAATTTCTTAAGGAGATCTTAACAAAGAAGAAGGAAAATCCTCTCACGGTGGCCATGAGTCAAGAGTGTAGTGCCATTATCCAAAATAAGATCACACCAAAACTATGTGATCCTGGAAGCTTTTCAATTCCATGCTACATCGGAGGATCTAAAGTAAATAAAGCTCTTTCTGATCTTGGTGCAAGTGTTAGCTTGATTCCATACTCTCTATGTCAAAATGTAACACCCCACCCTGGATGACCCGAGTCATCCAGATCAGAGTGCTAGTAAAACCGGGCTACTTTGTAAAATATCATTTTTTCGAAATATACTCTTTTTGATATCTAAAGAGAATTTAAAAAAAAAATGTTTCCCGCGTAAACATAAGGTAAAAACATACACAATCAAATTAGCAATGAAGTAGATTGACAATTTCAATTTTTTATAGATATAGTTAGGAACGTAACAATAATACCTAATCATCTCAAGACTCTGCAAAGTAGATAAAATAACTTCAACAATTTTGGTTCAAGTTAGATCTTGACTGTAAATCAAACCAAATTGAGTGCATTGATTTCCTTTTCTTTTTTTTTCTATAAAAGAAAAATCATGAAAACTTACATCTTGACAATTTCAGGCTACACAAACAATCTTCAATGAATTTGTACAACCTCAAAGTGTTAGGGTCCAAAGTCCTTGTAATGTGATTAATTTTTAAAATAAAGTTTCTTACGCACAATACGCTTATGGAAAGTAATGAATTCTCGCTTCTTTGTAGATATGTATTTTTTTTTAATCCACCATTTCAGTAGCATAACATAAGTTTGTCAATTTTTCTTGAACCCCAAATGGATGTATTCATTTGTATCCAATGCAACTCACTCTCTGTTTTTCCTATTATTTTTTTAATATCAAAATGTGACTATGTTTGCCACTAAATCTGAAATTACTTGCAGCCCATATTTAGCATATGATTACTTGAAGCCCATATACTTGCAGCCCATATTTAGACCGTCGTGAGACAGGTTAGTTTCACCCTATTGAGGTTTGTGTTGTGATAGTAATTCAACCCAGTACGAGAGGAACCGTTGATTCGCACAATTGGTCATCGCGTTTGGTTGAAAAGCCAGTGGCGCGAAGCTACCGTGCGTTGGATTATGACTGAACGCCTCTAAGTCAGAATCCGTGCTAGATCGACGCTTGGACTCGCCGCTCGTTTGCCGACCAGCAGTAGGAGCTTTTGTTCCCAGGGGCACGTGTTGAAGGCTAATCCGCCGTGACGTAATGGTTCCGGTGGATGCCTTGAGGTTCAATTTTGATCATGCGGTGAGTAGAATCTTTCGCATACGACTTAAATACGCAACAGGGTATTGTAAGCGGTAGAGTGGCCTTGCTGCCACGATCCTCTGAGATTCAGCCCTTTGTTGCTTTGATTCCCAACAACTTTCATTCAATTGACCTTTCTCTCTTTTTTGTTAATATTAAATTCTGACATAGTCTTAAAGTTACAATTTACGTTACGTTGTCAATAATTTTGTTTCATCATAAAAGTCAATTATTTTAATAGCATCTTGTGGAAATACTATGTTTTACTCCGTAAAGTTCTAATTTTATTTACAATTGTTTAATGGTAAGGAAACATTTTTTTAAACTGGAGTAACACGTGGCAAGATGGTTGCTAATTATACTTTTTTTTAACACTTTTTTTAACTAAGCAATCTAGTCTTACGTGCGCTCAATTACAAGAAGTAAAATTAATTATGTTCATTTGGATCATTTATGTGTTGTATGTACAATTGTACAAATATTTCAACCTACGAATTTAAGATTTACTAGCTTCACAAAAATAATGTGTGCAATGTATAAAATAGTCACGAAATTTGATTCTGAGATAGAACTAAATGTAATATGATTTTCTTGTAGTCGACTACATCATCACTTTTCTCTTACATTTTATTATAAATCAATAGATAATTTTAAACACCACTACCCAATGTTTCGTCCTAATCATAAAATTCTATTTTGTATTTTATTTAACTACGATGGACTCGATCATCTAAGGCTTACTCATGGTCCATCATCAGTAAGAATATAATTGTAAATTAGTTTTTTTTTCAAATGTCATACATACACAAAAAAAATTAACCTACAATTTAAAATTTTAACTTCACAACCGCAATACAACGATGTACACAAGGTACATAATGATCATAATACGAGGTTCAATTATAGAATCGACAACAAGACAATATTCAGTATATCTAATTATTTTCATGTATGTTTCCTATTTTTTTTATCATGTACATTGAGTTAAAGTGTTCTCTTATTAATATTATTTCTTTTGAAGAAATAATCTACCATACTATATCTAATGACTTTCTATGGTCATTCCACGACACTTTTCTTTAGTCATTAGTAAAAGAGTATATATCTTACCAGACTAGAGGCGTCCCCCTTTTGTCCAGCCATAACAAACCGAATTACATCTGTGCACAGATTCTAAGATTCAAGTATGTCTCACAACACAACTATTGGCCTCAATCTTTTAATCTTATATAATACCATTATCTATATCTAAATATAAATTTAGACTATTACCACAATATCTAAATAATGTGGTAACAGTAAAGCAATGTCTTCCATTTCTTTTTGTTATATTTCAACATTATCAAAACTAGGTGTATTACACAGTAATTTAAGGTCAACATAAAATACCTGCCTGGAGGAAGCATAGAGATGGGGCCGTGCCTGTAGAACAAAAAAAATTTCATTCTCTTATTTATTTTCCTTTAAATGTTTTTCCTCAATTCTTTTTTTAAAGTTAGGTCAGAAGATCATTTTATAAACCAATTTCTCTGATACCAAAATGTAACACCCCACCCTGGATGACCCGAGTCATCCAGATCAGAGTGCTAGTAAAACCGGGCTACTTTGTAAAATATCATTTTTTCGAAATATACTCTTTTTGATATCTAAAGAGAATTTAAAAAAAAATGTTTCCCGCGTAAACATAAGGTAAAAACATCCACAGTTAATACAACCTTACCTTGGGTAGTTTGGTTCAAGCCCAAAAAAAACAAAGTAAAATTTAGTTCAACGTTTTATTCATTATTACATACGGAGTATTAAATAAGAACTTTTTTGGTACGGCCTCCACGTCCAAGCTTTCCTCCTCAGCAGTCGTTCACCTTGCTAGTACCTGCGTGCAGTTAAAAAAAACTACACGCTCAGCAAAGCTGAGTGGCAAATAACCAATAGACATATATAACATGTAAACATATTTTTGAGCATTTTAGGTTATTCATGTTTTATGAGCTTTTTTGCATAATTATCAATCATTAAGTAAATATTCTCACTTTGAGAAGTTACTTGGGGACTTTTAGAAAACACTTGACCTACTAGGTTAACCACATATTAGAGACTAAGCCGTGACTAGGCTGGAACACCGCACTAGTCGATACGTAGTTTTACTTCGGATACCTCCCCGTGACCTCGGGTCCAGTAATCAGAAGTGAACCCGAGACCCACGGGGTCATCGTTGGGTTCTCGTGCGCACGTTGTGGTATGATTATTTGTAGGCTCATCCACTTGGACACATACGATCCGGCCTTATAACGTGTGGTTTTATCCACTTAGTAAAACGTGACAATACCTGGTCAGGGTATGTCGTTAAATAAACTTTTAAATTTTTACTTCGTCCCTAACTATTCAGTTAACCTTAGTATGGTCATTAACAAAATACACTTTTGATAACTTCAACCATAAACATTTTCAGAATCCTTAGTCGGTGTTCGTCCCCTTGTGTCCAGAACATTTAGTTGTTGCCAAATCAATAAAACATCACTCAAATTTTAAGTGAATAAACATTTTCAAGTCAAAATCTGAAAATGAACTACAACTATTAGTTTTCAAATATACGTATGTATACACACCCTTTATATACATATAAAATCAATTGTGCTAAGTTCTAAATTTTACTATTTTACCACTGTAATCACTCTTTTAACTCTAATTGCTAAATTGTACGTAAACCTATTTATTTACTATGTTTGGCCTTTACTTGTAAACATTATATTTTTTTATGAATACCAAAAAAAATAGATAAAATCACTTATTTATTTATTTTAGCTTCGGCCAAAAATACAAATAACACTACTTATTAATTGTCAGTATTATTATTATTCCTATTTTCATTATACGCTCGGTCAATAATCATCACAACACAAAAAAAATGTAGATCTTTAATTTTTTCCCCTTATATTACCCAATTTGATATTTTGGACCTACATATCAATTTTCCCTTTCTTTTGCATTTTTTTCTAGTGAGCCGAATTGAGAAGGGAAAAAAAATGACTTCATCATTATTTTCTTCTAAAACAAAACTGTGATATAGTTTTTTTTCACCTTTTTTTTATGGATTACGTTTCTCCTGTTTTTTTTCCAAAGGTAGGCTAATACGGATATTTTGTTTGATGCTTAACTTCGTATTCTTTTTTTCTTTATAACAATTGATAGATTTGGATTACAAAAAGAAAATAAAATAAAATACACAAAAATATATCAACATAAAATATATGTCTAAAGGTTGGGATCAACGGCACACCTTCGATATCGGTTAGACAAAACACTA